TGTAGTTAAATGCAAAACAAGATAAACAAACAATAGTAGTAATAATAATAATAATAAAAAAAGACAAGGCAAAAAAGACTCATGAGAATGCCACTAATGTTTACAGTTAATGCAGTAAAGGCAGGACCACCATTATCAAAGTACAAAATTTCTTCATTCTAAAACTCACAAGGCATTGATATGCTTGTGACCATGGTTCCCTCAAACTGGAAATAACCGGAGAAGGAAAAACAAAAGGAAAACGTCTAAGGAAACCAAATGGTATAGAGTTCAAATGATGCTTTCAATGTGTTGATCTTCTGGCGACATGGCTGACTGCATGGGTACGGTAAAAAAAAAAAAAAGGGAGAAAAAAAAAATTAAGTGCAGCATCATATTGTGCCGGGTCCAAGGATAAGCCGCCCGCTTAAGTCAGTTTAAGAAAAGGAAATTTAAAATAAATAAAAAATAAGAAAAAAAAACAAAAAACTTCACACAATCTTTTTGATGCTGTGACGTTTGAAGCTGCCAGCACTTCTTTGCTTTTGCACTTGGCTTGCTGAACCATGGCGCGTTCTACCGCTGTTTGAGTGACCAGTGGTGGGAGACAGTTCCACGTTTTCCTTGTCAATCCCTATGGCAGAGAACCAAACAGGGACAGTGATTTGATTGTGATACAAATAGTGATAGAAAATACACTATGGATCTTATATATTCAAATGGCCGAAGAACTGTACAACTCATAGTAACCAGGCAGTTCAACTGCTCCTTTCCCAGTTAAGGTTATGAGCAGCACAGTTCTGCTTTGAAACTAATAAAATATGCCCATTGCTAACATTTTTATAGTTAAACAATTCTACACACAAGAGCTTAACAGAAAAGTGCAATGAGAATTTTAAATCTCCAGTGATCAATATCAACCAACCAAAAAGAAATACAGGATCTGTTCACATTCGACCTGATTGGCTGCAAATAGTTCCTGCCCCCTGAAAATCAATATGCCCCTTGCACTGCTTTAAAAAATAAACTCGACACATCAAAGACCACCAATGTAAATCATTGAGCCCTACAAAGGCTGGCATGAATTTAGGGAAATCAGTAAGATCACTAAAACAGGAAACATATGAACTCATTTTCAAATAAAGGAATACAAACAAATAGAAATGATGAACAGTAAAAGTTATTTCTAGGAAGAGTTAAGTATTCATGTCCAGTGGCAATAGGAGGAAAGACCCATGTAAACCACAATTAAAAATAAATACAAATGTTCTCTTTTACCCTGAAGTAATGTCACACTAGGCTAAAGATTTCATCCACATACTTTTACTAGTGACAATAAATACTGAGGACAATTGAAAATCAGATAATGAATTAGGTATGAGCAAATGTATTAATTTGACAAACAGTACATTGTCATTTTTTTATGGTCCTGAATCCGTGTAGATTTGTTCAAACTTTCATGCAATTAATAATGATTGCCTGGATCCACAGATCAGATAGATGTACATTGAATATTTAAGTGAACCAAAAGTGATGAATCAGTGATACTCCTGATTTGAACATCACAACCATGAACAAGTCTCAAGCAACACATGATGCTGCAGAAACACTGTCACCGGTTACATGCTTTGTTAGATTATCCACTTTAAGACTGGATTCACCCCCTATGTGCTGCGGCAAAGAATGGTAAAAAAACAAATACTTGTTTTACCTTAAAGCAGGGAACTGTATGTGGAACTATTGCCCTGAAATGGCAACCCAACACACATGTACAGTAGCTGTCAATGCACTTGTTTAGCATGCGTTGTGGTGAGATGCAGTGCCAAGAATGATGCAGATGCCTCTTTACCATGTATTAAGGTACATTGCCAGGCCATTACAAATGAATGGGCCACCTTAATGCAGAGCACCACAATGCATGAAAATACATTCATTAATGCATGCAGTAAGTGTGAAGTAGTCCGAAGGCTTCAGGGAAATTGTGCAGAGTCAGTCTGTTCCCTTAATGCTGTTTTTTTTTGAATAATGAAAGCTATAATATATTTTGAAAATGATAAGCTTGAAACTTTAAGTGAGAGTGTTTAGCCCTGTTCCATCATCTATGTATATTTTACCTTGGCCAAACCTGTTACCATGCAATTGTACAATGTGTGTGTAATGTCCTCCCCAGTCAGAGAGTAGCTTGCACTACATAGCTGTGTGATCAGCTGTCTATAGACACAACCATAACAGTTTAGGTTGGACAAATACCATGTTTGTCGCTATGGAAAAGGGAAGGAGATGAGTGTTACTGGTGATGCTGCCAACAATAGGGATTCAGACCAGCTTTCTAACCTGCCTGATCAGGCTTTCATTCAGACAGTGGATGGTAGGCTGCCCATAGACACTAGACTGAGACAATGTCGTAAGAAAAATTGACAACTAGGTGAAGTCTGTAGGCATTCATGAGTATAGCTGATACGACTGTACTGTGAGGAAACTGGTAGGACAAGCAAGGGAGTGGCAGAAAGAGAAAAACGCAAAAGTGAGAAACAAGCTGAGACAACCTCCCCTTACCTATTAACATGCATGCATGAGGAGGAGATTCAGAAGGATAGGGTGAAACTTAAGCTTACAGCTTGTAAATATTGGAAAACAGTTATAACAAAAAAATACACAGCCCCCAATTGCAGCTTTATGTGTTCTGCGGTATAAAAGGTCCCTTTTACACTGTATTGCCGAGTACTGTTTTGTAGGTCAACCTCTAAAACTAAGCCTGGCAATAAAAAGACCACTTTGCCCCTGATAGGTCTACCCATTTTTCTAACTTTTTGGAAAATTTCTGAAAGACCTATTGATGGGTGGGTGAATGTAGGATAGTCAGCTGGGGGTCCTGGCACCCTCTAGGATGGGCCAAGGTCTTCCTATCCATTGTTTTTAGTTATTCAGAAGGATAGATATACATCTTAGTTTGCTCAAAAAACTCTCTGGCACCTGTGGTGGGCTGCATTTTCCTAAACATGGACGTCCTCAACATGAGATGTGCGCAAGAAGCTAAAACTATTTACACTCTTTGGAGCTGATGCACCTGAACCAGCCTAACATACACTCTTAAAAGGTGTCAATATGTGAATTATTTTACCTGCCAAAACATGTGAAATTCTGGTCAGCCAGTTTTGTTTTACACATCACCACATTACATACCAGAGAGGTTGACAATACTTTCTCCATTATGGTTAAAGTGTATGTTAATGCTAACAATGAACTTGCAATCTCCATGTCCACATATAATTAAAGACTATATCTTTATAACGAACATAGAAATATGTAAACTTAAAGTGGCACTAAACTCACGTATAGTTTACTAATATGTATTGAGATTGTAGTCCATCACAGGAGCGATCTTGGAGTGGTGACTACTTTACAACACACACAGGGACCATGGGGAACAAAAGTAGCCACCCTCCAGAAGGAATTTTTTAAGATTTAGCTCTTGAGTTTAGTGTCACTTTAGATTGATTCTATTCACTTGTATTTTTAAATGTTTATTGTTTGTTTCTAGGAATTACAAAGTGATAAAGGAAAAATTTACCATCCCAACACTGTGCTGTGGAAGTTACACCCACCATCTCTTCCTACAGACAAATATCTACCAATATTAATTTCCCTTGTTGGGTGTGGCTGGCCAGCAATGTAAAAGGTAGCACCCTCAATCCTGCACCATCCTAAGCCGTTCCAGCCTCAAAATGCTCTGCCATCTCTCACCAACAATCTGTTAAGGAGTGGATGGCGAAGTGCTGCCATTACAGTATCTGCTGATCCACCATGCAGGACCCACATGCTTCAAGCGATGATAGTGGTGAGTGCTGTAGATGATCCCTTGGTGGCTAGCTCCAGCATGTTTGTTGAGCTGGTCAGTGACAGCCAGGCCTCTAGAAGCACAACACCTGAGTGGCAGGCAGATGTACAGACTAGAGACCTCCAGCCATAGAACAGGCAGCCAACAGTGCCAAGTGACAACAGGAGCCCAGGGAACCAGACCTCTCCATCTCATCCAGGGGCTCCTCCCAATGCACAGGTGCTCATTGACCTTATTCCTCCCTTGAGATCTTTTCCATTCCCTCCCATGGGCTCTGGTTTACCCTCACCTGCTACCTCCACACCTCTGATACAGTAGCTGTATCTAAAGCCATACAAATCTGCTATTCCTCTTCCATAAGCAAAGTAGATGAAATTTAAGTTTGCCACTCTCAGACAAGATATGCAATACACGAGAGAACAAACAATAGTGGAAAGGAAGGTTAGTGATTTAATGGGCACTTGTCATCCAGTACCCAACCGAATGACAGATTTAGCGTACAAAGTTGCTGCAGAGGAGGCCAGAGCTGAAGATATGGAGAATCATAGATACGACAGAATAATCTGAAGGCTCAAACCCTACGATAGGTATAGAAATCACAGCAGCTTTTTTTGTCTAACATCTGTCTATAGAAACCCACCCAGTGGGTGAGCCTCAGTTCCTGGGGGATCGGTGTAATGCCCTGTCTCTTACAGACTTATGGCGGTGGAAATACCTTGACCAAATTGTTTACTCCTGTCAATTAAAAACATAAAAAGCCCTGTCACAGTTGGATTATGCTCTTGCAACTAGGGACCTCCTTCCCGATGTGGAGGTAATTGCATACATAGCACAAAATGATATATAACAGTTCAGTGCCCAATGTTACCCTCAAAGTGATACACATACACTGGAGCCAAATAGGAATATACCAAGAATAACATCAAAATACATCGTCAATCCCTAATAATAGCGCACGGGGCCCTACACCCACAAGAAACTGATTTAACACACACATAAAAAGCTGTTTTACCAAACAGCTATCTTTAAACAAGGAGTGAAAAATGGCAACCTACTTGCCTTCTTTTTTAAAGCCTCGTTTCCCCCAGTTCACATACCTAGACATCAGAGACACCATAATAAAATTATCCATCATCATGAAACAATTTGGAGATTTTACTCTACCCTCTATGATATCATAGACCATCCAATTCCTAACACTGGACCAGGCTCAAAGCACTCACTTAGATCACTCGTTTACAGAGGATGAATGTAGGAGAAAATCCCCAGGCCCTGATAGCCTTCCCATAGTCTGGTATAAATATAATTTGGACATGCTGCTCCATCAACTACGTTAAGTCTTTAAACAAGCTTTCTCTCAGGGCACACTACCAATATCCATAAGGGTTAATTATTTTGCTTCCTAAACCTGGCAAAAGATGTAGAAATGTTGGAGTCATACTCTCCAATATCACTATCTAACTGCAATGTCCAGATTCTGGCCAATCACCTCTCAAGTAATTTGAACCTAGTGGACCTAGACTAGATGGGCTTTATGCAAGGTATACATATATTTACGAACATAAGAGGATTGCAGTTGAACAAGCATTCAGCACTGAATCTAGCCTTGTGATGTCTCTGGAGGCCACAAAGCCTTTGAATTTATTAAATGGTTAAAATTACTCTACAGTGAGTCATTAGTAAGAGTGCATACAAACAATCTCAGCTTTCCTTTGCTCCAGCTTCATCAGGGTACAAGTTAGGGTGCATAAAATCTACCTCCCAAAGATATTATATGTCCTATGTTCAGCCCCGGTACCTTCCAAACACTTTTTATCCATATACCCTCTACTTTTTTTCATTTATCTGGAATGGTGAAGTGCCACACATTAACAGAATCCGTTTACATGCCTCTAAGGACATGGGAGACCTGTTAGCACCTAACTTGCTGTTCCAATAGTTTTTTTCCAATTAAGAAAGGAAATAATACAAACACTGTCTTGTGGCAGCAGTAAAAAAAATAAAGTAATATAGTAACGAAGGATAAAAAAAAAAAGGAGAGTAAATAAGGAAAAGGTTTTAACGGGAGACTGTATAGAATATCCAAGCATTCCAGATTCTCTTAAACCTTGTCTGTTCATCCTTTAAAATACTGGACACATTTTAATGGAGCATGACCCAGTAAATGTTATTTTTTGTCACAGTGATCTTCCATACATAGAATTATCCAGATTCTTAAAGCACAACTTTGAACACTATCATCTTAACAGGTTTACAGCAGCAAAATATTCTTGTTCCTCAAAAGCCAGTAGCTGTCATGCAGGCATGCTTCTGTGTCCTGCAAATCAGTTTGTACTACCTGACCACTTTGGATGTAAGACAGTACATACATACATACATAGTACTCCAGTCATGTCTCTGTCCATGTCACCTCCTGGCTATTCACAAAACAAAGGCTGGAGCCATGTGTTTTGTGCGCGATCAGAAGGAAAGGGGTCGGACACACAACTGCAGCGCTTACTGCCAGAAAGTACAGCGGGAGCTGTATTAATCTCAGCATGTAAATAGATTTGCAGAACACAAGTATACCTGTATGTTGTGGTTTCAGTTCTGAGGATAAGCAACATTTTGCTGCTGTTAACATGTTAAAGTAAACATGCCC